TGATTTGATAGCCGAGAGCCATCAATTAACCATACTGAACGCTGATGCTGGCAGCTAAAGAATCACAAGGTTGTGGCACCAGAGGGAGAACTCAAATAGATGGTAACCAATTTCAGAAGACAGCAAATAACGAAAATGGAAAGATAATGATATGTCTTAAATCTAAGAAACGAGAGTGCTAACTGCACACATAATTCTTTATCTCATTGCCTGCTAAAGAATATTTTCCTTCAAAATATAATTTAAATGTATGTAGTTAAGCCTTAATATAAATCAAATGGTTACATGTTAAACAATGGAGAAGTAGTTTGTGATTTTTGAAACCTGGATTTGGAGGGCAGATGCAAAGTTCGCTGAGAACACCATTTGCTGGTGGCCTTGCTCAAATTGCAACTACATATTCCTTAAAAACAAAAAAAGGAAAAAGCAAAGCAGAAATCATACAAGGTACCAAATATAAATTACAAGAAATAGATGGAAGCACAGAATTTTAATGGCATTAGTAGCTAACATTTTTTAATATTTCCCGTTACTGTGCTAAATGTTTTAAGTGTGTTATTTTATTCAACTCTTAAAACAATCCCATGAGAGAAGTAATCTTTTTCATCCCACATTACAGCTAGAAATTGAATCACAGAGAGGCTTGTCTAAGTTCATGCATCTAGGAAGGAACAGAATTTTCTACCTACAACAAAACAAACCTCTCATGAAATCAAAATATGGTGCCAATGCTCAGCCTTGGCAAATAACGAACCTGGCTTGAGACATCTAAGGGCCAATTCCTGACCCAGAGACAGATCTACTGCAATGCAGGAGCTCAGGTTAGTAACAATGACACAGTCAGAGGCGCTGTAGGGACAGAGTTTGGACAAGCATGATTTGTGTTTTCTTCTGAGGTATTCAGGGATTTAAAAGTGTTTTTTTCTAAAAGAAAAAAGAACTCTTCATTCGGTCCTATATATGCCCAACAGGTAACTAAAAGCAGAACAAAGCTTTGTCTCAATTTATTGCCTTAAAACTTTTGGCCAGATCTTTGCTTCGCTCTGCCAATAAGCAAAACAAGGTTGATCAGACCTCAGTTGACTTTACCTTCCTCATCCCCCTTCAAGACTGAGGACACGAAGAGAAGAGTCTTACAGGATCATCAGTTTCAAATGAGCACACAGAAGTCTCCAGACATTGCTTTCCACCCACCCTGGGTTCCAGCAGAGCCTCCACAAAACATAGACGGCTCCAGGCAAATGTATTTTTCTCATGGAGACCAAACTGTCCCCCTCAGGTAGTAAGGGCTTCTCCTGGAAGGGACTGTAAACTGGAACTGAGGTAGTGATCCACCAGACCTTAGTTCACCCAGCAAGCCCATAAAACATGGTCCCATCCTTTTGTTAATGCACTAGCCAGACTGATATTCTTCATCATAGCTGAGCCCCTTTCAGACTTGTAAGCTGAAATCCTCTCCAGTCTATTTTCTCTTACCGTCTAATTCTGCCGAAGCCTCTCACTGACCCGTTGTGAAATGCTCTTCTGTGATGAGACTCAACAAACCTACCGGGGTGGTTGGCAAGCTGAGGGCCCTGTCACTGGAGAGGACCTGCCCAGACTGGCCACAGAACAATCTGTCACAAAGGGTTAACTTTTCGTAAGGCAGCACACTTTACAGTCTGCAGCACTTACAGCATGAGACATATATTATTTCATTTAGTTTTCAAAACATCTGAGAAGGAATGGGGACCAGAGGATTATTAACAGTTGGCAGATAACACAATGAGGTTCCGTGTTGTCTAAGAATTTGCCCAAATGCTTACAACTAGATTGGAAAAACATTATTAGGACCCTAATCTTCTAGTTCCATAGCTTGGCTTTTCAATTTTAATCTCTCTCTCTCTCTCTCTCTCTGTCTCTCTCTCTCTCTCTCAATTCACTGAGTTTCTTGCTATGATTTACGTGAACATTATGATCCCATTCATCCTAGGAAATCTGTACCAGTATATGATATATCTTGGTTCTTATTTTTTCCCAGTCCCCTGCTCTCCCTTCCATCTCTCCATCCCTTCCTAGTTACAGAAGCTCTGTTTCCGTTATTTTCTTCTTCTCTCATTTTTCCCTTCTTTCCTTCCCCTCATCCCCTCCTTAGTTCCCCTCTCCCTTTGAATATTTTCTTCCTATTTCACAATAGCTATTATACATTTTAGTCTTCATTTATATTTTGTTTCTCACACCAGAGAAACTATTTGGTCTTTACACATGTGTGTCCTATTTATTTCACTTTAAAGTATGGTCTCAAGGTGCATTCATCTAGCGAGAAATGACTCTAATTTATCTATATGGCTGAGTAGTACTCCATTTTATAAAAGAACTACATCTTCATTATCTAATCACCAGCTGAAAGACTTTGGGCTATTTCCAAGATTTAGATATTACAAACTGTGCCACTATAAAGATGGGTGTACATATATTGCTGAGGTATGATGCTTTTAATTCTTTTGGGAAGATACCACGAAGGGGAATAGCTGGGTCAAATAAAACCTCTAGTTTTACTTTTATGAGGACTCACCACACTGATATCCAGAGTGGTTGTACCAGTCTACACTCCCACCAACAGTGGAGAAGGGTTCCTTCTCCCCTGCAGCCCTGCAAGTATTCATTTCAAATGCTCATTTTTGGATCAGGTCTTCAAGTTGGGGGAGTCTGATTTTTTTTTGTTCTTTATATATTCTATATAGTAGTCTTTTGTCTGGAGAACAGCTGGTAAAAATTTTTTCCCACATTGTGGGTTGTCTCTTCACTCTGTTGGTGGTTTCTCTTGCTGTGCAAAAAGCTTTTTAATAGGATGAGATCCCAGTTGTTGATTCTTAGCATTAGTTCCCGTTCAACAGAGGTGTTGTTCATAAAATATTTTCCTACACAAATATCTTCAAGAGTTCTACCTAACCTATCTTTCAGCAGATTTGGTGTTTCTGTTTTAATATTTAGATCTTTGATCCATTTCAATTTTAGTTTAGTGGATAGTGAAATGTATGAGTCTAGTTTTAATGTTCAGCAAGTTGAAACCCAGTTTTTCTAGCAACATTTATTAAAGAGGCTATCTTTCCTCCAGTGAGGATGTTTGACTCCTTTGTCAGAGATAAGATGGCTGAATATGTCTGAAGCTGTTTCTGTATATTCTAATCTCTTCCACTGATCATCATGTCTGTTCTTTTGCCAGTACCATGTTTCACAGTAGCTTTGTAGAATAATTTCAGGTCAGGGATGCTGATACCCACCCCCTGCCTTGCCTTTGTTGCCCAGAATTGCTTTTGCTATTTTAGGTCACTTCTGGTTCTGAATGAACTTTTGGATTGTTTTCTCTAAATCTGTGAAACATGCTGTTGGAATTTTGATCAGGATTGTATTAAATCTATATAACAGTTTTGAGAGTATGACTATTTTCACTATATTGGTTCTTCCTACCCAAGAACAAGGGATGTCTTCCCATTTTCTGATATCCCCTTCAATCTCCTTTTTCAGAGTACTATAGTTTTCAATGTAGAGCTGTTTTACTTCCTTCATTAGATTGATTCCTAGGTGTTCCTATTTTTTGGAAGCTATTGTGAGAGGAGCTTGTTTCTCCAGGTCCTTTCCCAGTGAGTCTGTTGTTCATGTACAGGAATGCTATTGATTTTTGTGTGTTGACCTTGTATCCAGCTACTCTACTGAATTTGTTTATTAAGTCTAGAAGACTTTTGGTGGAGTTCTTGGGGTCTTCTATATGAGTATCACGTCATCTGCAAATAATGACAATTTAACTACTTCATTTCCTATCCTTATCCTTTTTATTTCTTTTTCTTGCCTAATTGCTGTGGCTAATATTTCTGAACTATATTGAACAAGAGTGGTGATAGTGGACACCCTTGTCTTATTCCTGATTTTACTGTGAAATCTTTCAGTTTTTGTCCATTTAGTATGATGTTGGCTGTTGGTTTTTCATAGATGGCTTTTATCAGGTTGAGATAAGGACCACCTATTCCAATATCCTGTAGGGTTTTTATCATGGATGGATGTTGAATTTTGTAGAATGCGTTTTCTGCATTTATTGATATGATCATATGGTTTTTGTCCTTGACTCTGTTAATATAGTGTATTACATTAATTGATTTGTGTATATTGAGCCATCCCTGCATCCTTTGGATGAATCCCACTTGATCAGGGTGTATGATCTTCTTGATGACCCTCTGTATTCTGTCTGCCAGTATCTTCTTGAGGATTTCTGAATGTTGTTCATTAGGGAGATTGACCTGTAGTTCTCTTTTTTGGTTGGGTCCTTCTCTGCTTTTGGAATCAGGGTAATGCTTGCTTCCAGGAATGATTTTGAGAGTATTGATTCCCTTTCAATTTCATTAAAGAGTTAGAGAAGTAGCAGTACTAGGCCTTCTCTAAATTTCTTGTTTAATTTGGCAATGATTCTATCAGGACCTGGGCTTTTCCTTCTTGGTAAGTTTTTAATTACATTTTCAATTTCATTGACTGATATCAGGTTGTTTAGAAACTTCCTTCTCTCTTTGATGAGTAAACTAAGTGACAAAAATATAATTTCATAAACCTATGTTGAGGTTCTCCAAAATAGATTAAACTTAATAGTAGTGATAAAACAATAGCAGACTACTTACCAGGTACTAAGCTAAATACTTTATTTGAATCTTCCGTGTAATCTCCAGGAATCCATTTACCACAACCCTGTGGTAAAGGGACTATTATTAGTCTACTTTAGGGTGGAGGAAACTGAATTAAAAGCGGTGATGAGCAAACAGGAAGCCAGGCCTCATTTCTTCCAATGCCTCCTAATCTGAATAAAATGAGCCATCTCCTGCTATGAATTCAATTTGCTAGATTAAGGTGGAACCCCATATGCGCAACTGTAGTGAAGACGTTGCAACATAAGCCTGCACTGTGAATGTGCTGATCAGATTGTGACATCACCCACTGACAAGTACCCATTGTCACAGCCACAGACACACCAGAAACTTCAGCTCCAGCATAAGGAAGTCACACTCTCCAGATCATCCACAAGACAGCCTGACTGCATGCACTGCCATCCTTCCAGATTTCACCTCAACTTTCAAGAGAAGAACTTCCCTTGTTTCGCCTTGTTATTCAGATAGAAATTCCAAAGAGTGAAGATTCACAAGACAGAAAATCATTAGATGTAAGAGATCCAGGATAAGAGAAAAATTCACCCCATCACAACACATGAGGTCACTTTCCTAACCTGGAAAGCTCTCACTTTTTATCTTTTTACCATGTAATACTAAATTTTCTTCTGGTTTCCAGTCCTACAGTATAGAAGACCAAGTATCCTGTAAGAAACAAGAGCTCTGTCTCAGTGTGGTTTTCTTTAGAGGAAACCACTATACCCTCTGAATCAAGAAGCTAGTAGTAAAAATGATCATTATTCATCTATGGGTGGCAGGCAAGGATAGTATTATTGAATGATATGTATAAGAAAATAATGACTCATTATTTATTTGTCATCCTGTATTCTTATCGGCTTAATATGCCAGGTATATTTGGAGATACACTAATCCTCTCATTATACTCTTTGTGTTTCTCAGGTAAGTGATAATGAATATGGCCAGTTATTTAACATGTGAATTTCCTCATCTCTAAATTAAGGTTAATGCCTGTACCTATCTCACAATGTTGAGAAATAAATATAAAAGCACACAGCATGTGCCTGGGACATAATTAGCACTCACTAATTATGTAGTTTTATTACTACCACTTCTATTATCAGCTATCCTCAGAGCCACTAAATATGTGTGATCATTGCCCCATCTTCTAAGAACAATTTTTTAAAAGTCAGTCATCTTTCCAGGAACCTAAATGATGTAAGGGTCAATACTTGACTAATAATAAATAGCAATTAACTAAATTCAACTGAACTCAACTAAATCCAACTATATTAATTACGTATTACATACAAGTCACAGAGCTAAGCACTAAAAGCACAAAAAATCATAAGCATCAGAACTTAAGGGAAACTTAAAAGATAGTCTCAATCAATGCCCGTCACTTTACAGGTGAAGACACGCATTAGGTGAGTGGAGTGGCAACGGACAGGATCACAGGGAAAACAGTGGCAGAACCAGGAAGGGGAAGCCAGTCACCTTGACGTGAACCAGGGCTCCTTTTACTGGCATTTCTCACCTTTCTGTGCAAAACGAGAGCGTGGCCTTCTGGGAGCCTACACTCTGGAAGGAAGTACCTTCCCATGTAACCCCCGGCTCCACAGTCTTGCTGTAAGTCCACTGAAGTAGAATCTATTTTCCTTAATAATTTGATCCTTACAAAAAAAAGTATTAAGTTAATAGGAAAAAAGCAGTGTTTTGTCATTATTCTTAAAAGAACTGCAGTCTTGAGAGGCCAACTGACTGGCATAATGTAGAACGGTAAGTTGGAATCTGAGGCCAAAATAGACGCCAGGACTCCCGGATTAGCCACTGGAGCTGGCTGCCCCCAGCCATGAAACTGACTAGAAACACAGCGTGAAGCAAATAAAGCCAAGCAGGTGTTTTTAATGAAGACTTCTTTACACAAAACTACCTGGGAAATTGGGATGAACTTGGAGACCAAGGAGAGGCAAGGATCCAATAAGGCCAGCCAAAATCTGAAAAGCCCCTTCACAAAGACAATAACCCACTTGCCCAAACCCCTAGGGAGAAAATCCACATTCAAACCAAAGAGCAGGAGAAGGGACCAACCAGAGTTTGTAGACTTAAAAATTTCACGTATCTGTGCCAAAGATATGTCTGAGGATGCTGAATGAAGCAAGTCCAGTTGGGCTTGCACCCAAGTTGTCTGACATCCAGGTCACTTTTGATAGAACCATGCTGGCTCTTGTTTCCTCCTCTATAAAATAGGTAGAGAGAGAAACTACTGGGCCAGTGGATTTCCAAGATCCTTTCTAGCAACAACATCCTAGGATTTTTAACCTTCATCTATGCTATTCTACTCCAGCTTGGCCTAGTCTCTTTTTTATATCTAACTTGATTCCTGTAGATGTTGTAAATACTATACTTAAGATTTTAACCATATTTTTACATGTGAAATTCAGTGCATTGAGAACATCCACAATGTTGTAGAACAGTCACCAATATCCTCTTTCTCACCACCTTAAACAATACCCATTAAGCAATAGCAATTTATTTTTCCCATCCCTTCACCCCAGTAATCTCTACATTACTTTTTTTTTTTAAAGGGTCGCTGTTTCTAAGCTGACAGAAGTACAGACATACTGATATATAATATTTTAATTCAAAATTTATACTATCAAGAAAGCCCAACAAGATTGTCAGTTTTCATACCCAACCATAGATTAACCATAGTAAACACATACAAGGAATCTCTGAAATTATGTATGTTTATGTTTATAGAAGTATTTTCTTCAATTTTATTTTATTGGTACATTTTAGGTATACAATATAATGACATTCATCATTGGGAATTTGCACCTTTACATAATCTCTCTTGGTTCTT